TCCTGAATCCTCTCTCTAGACTCCCTCTTTCCAGAGCTTTAAATTCCACTGCTCGATTGATGGATAAATGAGCAACGTATGGTTGTCTGACTCTGAATTGGATAGCTATAAGACAAATTTAAAACTTTTTTTTCTTTTCTGAGATCAAGGACATGTTGGAGAATTAGAATTGATTAATCATCCATAATTGAGTTCAGGAAAAGAGCTGCCTATGCTGCTTCTGCCCTTACCTGTTTGGCCAGAAACAGCAGAGGCGAAAGGCATCAGCAGGTGAAGAAAATGAAAGTGTCTAAATCCTAACATCTGAGACTGTGTCCTCAATTGGCCTCCCACAGCGGTCCTGAGAGGACAGATGATCTTGAAAGGCATGAGAAGCAGAGGTCTCTCTTTTTTTATAGATACCCAGTGTATTTTATTTATTTATTTTTTGAGGAAGATCAGCCCTGAGCTAACATCTGCCACCAATCCTCTTGTTGCTGAGGAAGACTGGCCCTGAGCTATCATTGGTTCCCATCTTCCTCTACTTTATATGTGGGATGCCTGCCTCAGCATGGCTTGCCAAGTGGTGTGATGTCCACACCCGGGATCCGAACTGGCGAACCCCGGGCTGCCTAAGCAGAACATGCGAACTTAACCACGGCCCCATCAGGCCGGCCCAACAGAGGTCTCTTTCAAACCCATCCTGTAGAGAGTGCCAGCACAGTCCAGACATGGAAAATGAATGGGGCTTCACTGGGTCAGTGAGGAAGGTGACAGCATTTTAGAGATGGATGGGATCCAGGCCACTGCCTGGCTCAATGACTTGCTAGGATGATTTCCCTTAATTTTATGAAGAATGTTTCTTCAGTTGGTGCTGGGCAGCACATGAGAGCACGCTGACGGGTCCGAGGTTCAGCTAAGTGGGCAATATTCTAGAAATTCACCCTCTGAAAAGCCTACATCAAGGGTCACAAACTGTCAGCCCAAGGGCAGAATTTGGCTCACAAATGTTTGGTGGAGTGTTAGCTTACAATGTTTTTAATATTTTTATCTTAATTGCTAATATTTAAGACTTCATGTTTAAAATTTGATATAAAAAATCTTGGATTTTTTTTCCATGAGATGTAATGTAGAGAGCCTTGACTGTCCTGGTCACTGCTGTATCCCCAGAGCCTAGAACAGTACCTGGAACATAATAACTGTCCAATAAGTACTTTTCGAATTGATGTTTTTCAAAAAATAGTCCTATGAAGTAGGAACTATTGTCATCATTTTACAGTGAATGAAAGAAATCTCAGAGAACTTAAGTAATTCAGCTAAGGTCACACAATTGATAAGTAGCAAAATATTTGGACTCAGGTGTGCTCGACGTCCAAACCAGTGTTCTGTCCACTATGCCCACTGCTCAGCAGCCTATACCGGTGGACCTTTTATAGCCATGAAAGGCTTTCAATTTAGACTCTTTTAAAAAAGCTTGATTGAGATATAATTAACACACCATACAATTCACCCAATTAAAGTGTACAATGCAATTTTTTTTGTATATTCACAGGGTTGTGCAACCATCACCACAATCTAATTTTAGAACATATCTGTCCCCGCTAAAGGAAACCCCATTAGTAGTCAATTCCTATGCCCCTCTCCCACCCCTCCTCACCGTTCCCATCTCTCTCAGCCCTAAGCAACTACTAGTTTACTTTCTGTCTCTAAAAATTTGTCTATTCCAGAAATTTCATATAAATGAAATCATACAATATGTGGTCTTTTGTAACTGGCTTCCTTCACTTAGCATAATGTTTTCAAGGTTCAGTCATGTTGTAGCATGTATCAGTACTTCATTTCTTTTTATTGACAAATAATATTTCACTGTATGGATACACCAAATTTTATTTATTTATCCATCAGTTGATGGACATTTGGGTTGTTTCCACTTCTTGGCTATTATGAATAATGCTGCTATGAACACTCATGTCAATTTAGATTTCTGACATTATTTCAAAAGTTAGTCATTGTAACTTTTGTGTTAAAAGCAATAATTTAAGTGTATACCTTAAAAATTTACCATCATCCGGGCCAGCCCCTTGGTTGAGTGGTTGAGTTCTCACGCTCTGCTTTGGCGGCCCAGGGTTTCGCCAGTTTGGATCCTGGGCGCGGACATGGCACCGCTCGTCAAGCCGTGCTGAGGCAGCGTCCCACATGCCACGCCTAGAAGGACCTGCAACTAAAAATACATGACTATTGGGGCTGGCCCCGTGGCTGAGTGGTTAAGTTTGCGCACTCCACTGCAAGCGGCCCAGTGTTTTGTTGGTTCAAACCCTGGGTGCGGACATGGCACTGCTCATCAAACCACACTGAGGCAGTGTCCCACATGCCACAACTAGAGGGATCCACAACGAAGAATATACAACTACGTACTGGGGGGCTTTGGGGAGAAACCGGAAAAATAAAATCTTTAAAAAAAAATTACCATCATTTAAAACAATTCAGTTTTGACACTTCAGTTTTTAAAAATATAGCTGAAGTCTCCAAGGAGTCAGAGTATCCAGCTCACTCCTGCCCTCTGAGAGGCTATGATGTCGCCTCTGACAAATACGCCCATTTTATCCAACTAGACAACAAACTCCTCCAAGTCAGGAAAACTGTTATGCTTCCCGGTATATCCGTGATGACTAAATAATACATGTATTTGGTAAATATTTGCTGACAATATAGATCATCAAGAAATGATGGGGTGGGGTGGGAGGATTAAGTGATAACCAAGAGGAGGTTGTGGGAAGAGAGAGAGTAAATTCCAACACAGATGCTTTCCAAATTCTGACCTGAAACCCCCACATTGCTGTTGGACTTGTCGGGGAGATTTCTGTTGACGTAGTTCGCTAATGGATGCTAACTTAGATGGAACGCATCCACTGATAAAGACATGCATCTTGGTTGAAGAACGGAAATTTTCTCCAGATCTTGACCAAGAGGAGGTCAGCATGGTGTTTCTCCCACATGCTGGGCCAAACTGAAGCTTCCTTTTACGGCAGGATAGGGAGCAATGATTTGTCTAACGAAGCGGTGGAGTTAATGAATGTCTGTGGCAAAAGAAAAGGAGAGGAAAGAGGAAAAGAGGAGCAACAGAAAGGAGACAACTGAGGCATTCTTTGTGAGAAGAGAATCTCCTACAGATGCTTCAGTCAGGAAGGACAGGCAAGGCCCTTTATAAAGGATGTGTGGAACTCTTAGAGTATTTTGTCATTATAACATCTTGTTAATATGAATACATAAGCAAAAGCATGAGGGTAAGGAGAATGGAGGCCAGCAAGTGAATCAATTAGGGAACAGGAGAGGAAAAAGGAGCTGTCATAGACCCCTGCCAAGCCCATTCCTTCTTCCAGCCTTTTTTCCTGTCCTTTCCCTCACATGGAAGGTCCTCCCTCCTCTCTAAGTCTTGTACAGTCTCTGAGATCCAAGCAAGTTCCGTGTCTTCATGACCACTCCAGTGCCCCCTTCCGCTGGATGCCTACAGCACATTTTCTGTGTGCCACACAACTCCTACTAGGTTAAGCACATTGTCTTTGGAAGGTTCTTCTATGCGTGTCTTATAAGCCCCCTTGTAAACTCCTCGAAGATAAGAGCCATTTCTTCTGCTGTTGCATTTCCCACAGTGCCCAGGGCTCAATAGACCTCTGTTTGACCTTGCTAACTGATTGACTGAGGAGTTCCGTTTGGCTTCCTTGTTCTTGCCAGCAACGCACAGTGCACAATAAAGTCCTTTCACTATGAGATGACAAAGTCGAAGCTAGAGGGGCCAAGAAAGTATTTGTACAGAATTATTTATTGTCTCGAATGCCTCATGGTAGTCAGATCCCAGAATTCTCAGGTTTGATAGATGTGGAAATAACTTTGATATATGTAGTAGTGCTTTTCGAGTTTGTGTTTCACTTAGATGGAATGTGTAAACTAATAAATAAAAACACGGGTTATATGAGTCAAGAAAAGAGATTTTCTGTTACGCAGTTAACTGATATCCTCTAAAGTTCTTTCTTCCCCCATGTTCCATAGCTACTAGGCGTTCATAGTGGGAATTATTTTCATCATTGAATGTCCCAAAGCTTTTTAATATAGGGTATAAAGTGCAATCAATATTTAGAAAAAAAATCTGGAATCACACTACTTTGATTCTGAATTTCTCCTCTTCTATGGCAATTTTTTGGGTACCATGTGCTCTTACAGAATCCCATCTTATGACACAGATACAGTTTGCAACTTTTTCATGATGCCTAAATCTTTTCAGCATTAAGTACATGGAGCCTCGTGAGAATTGCTAATAGTCCTTGTGACACTGCTGAGATGATTCCCAAGTGTTCACATTCACCCACGCAGAATGGGGTGGGGGAAATGATTGTGCTGGTTTGGTTTTCTTGTAACAGTCTAGTGACAAGGCTCCTTCATTGCCCTGTTGGCTGCAGTTAAAGAACCTGCTCTAGAACAGGTTCTAGAACAGGTTCTAGAACAGGTTGTGGGTTAAAAAAAATCATCTAAGCTGTTTCTTTCCTAGACCAATGAGATTCTAGTTTGGGTTTCAGAGGGCTCTTTATATCGCTTGCGAAAGATTCTGGGTCTTTCAAATTTATACTGTAGCAAAATTTGGAGCTCTGACCTACACTTAGTAAATGACCGTTCCAGGATATGGAAAAATATGCTCTATCATCTAATGTGATGTCAGTTTTCTTTAACCCTTTGTGTAAATGGTGCACATTAAAAAACTAGGTAGGGGCCAGACCGGTGGCACAGTGGTTAAGTGCACACATTCCGCTTTGGTGGCCCGGGGTTCGCCGGTTTGGATCCTGGGTGCAGACATGGCACCGCTTGTCAAGCCATGCTGTGGTAGGTGTCTGATGTATAAAGTAGAGGAAGATGGGCATGGATGTTAGCTCAGGGCCAGTCTTCCTCAGCAAAAAAGAGGAGGATTGGCAGCAAATGCTAGCTCAGGATTGATCTTCCTCAAAAAAAAAACACACAAAAAACTAGGTATACTGTTAAATAGATTCTTTTTTATAATGACAAAGAGATTATACAACCTCAAATAAAGAGACAGAATGTGACTGGGTCCGCTGATGCCTGTGTCCTGGAGCAGAGAAGGGCTCATTCTAGAAATGATCACCTTTCCTTCCAGGGGAAGAGGACATGACACTGGAAAAAATTTCTCTCTGAGTATTTACCCAGCTAGAGATCTGGGTTGTCAGATCCGAAAGGTCCCATTGCAATCCGTTTTTCCCAGGTGGTGCGTAGATCTTTGACAAGTGACGAGTGACCTCTTCTTCTTGTGTTTAGGTCCAGGACTGGACTCTGTGACCAGGGATTTGGTGTGCGGGGCCTCACTGGCTGCAAAGAAATAGAAATACATGAGTGCATATGTCAAACGTGTTCTCACGTGAAAGGCAGACCCAAGAAGAAAACCTGTTCAGCCATGGTTTGTCAGAATAGCTCTGTGAACTATCATACTAAATTGGAAAATAGATTCTCTAAGTTCAAGACCTGCCTCCCTTGACCCCAGTGAGAAGCCTAATGTGGAGAATATGGCTGAATTGTCCATCCAAGAAGGCTTGAGATCTGCATGGTGATCTTTGGGGTTAGCCTGTGTTTTCTCTGTCTTTGTTGTTATGCAGAAGTAGCAGCAACTATAGGACACTCTTATAGCTATGATTAAAGAGACTTTTTCCTGGGATGTGCTGAGGAGGTGGATTCACTCAGAGTGAACAGCCCCCAGGGATACAGCATTGCTCTATTTCAACCCTGTAAACCAATGTAGTGATGACCAGGGTTGAGCTTGTACCTAGGCTAAAGCATTCCCAGGAGTCTAGGTAGTTCTCATATCAATCCAGATTTCTGTATGGCTCCAGGGAATAGTAAGAGGGATATCTTCATCCCCAAGTGAATTCCCACCTTAGGGTAAAAGTACAAATGGAGGGGCCAGCCTGGTGGTGTAGTGTTTGGGTTCACGTGCTCTGTTTCAGCGGCCTGGGGTTCACCGGTTCGGATCCCAGGCATGGACCTACATACTACTCATCAAGCCATGCTGTGGTGACATCCCACATACAAAATAGAGGAAGATTGTCATGGGTATTAGCTCAGCAACAATCTTCCTCAAGCAAAAAGAGGAAGATTGGCAACAGATGTTACTCAGGGCCAATCTTTCTCACCAAAAAAAAAAAAAAGTACAAATGGAAGCCCATTTACCATATGTGTAAATATTTAAATGTTATAAATCAAGCTAACAAATGGTTAAGTAAAATAGATTCTATCTCCTACCTTGACAAGGAGACCAGGCTTGAATTTAGAGTTTTAGATTCCCTGGAGTTCCTTACCATAACATGGTGGCTCAGGAAAGCTGACCTGCGGTCCACCCATCTCTTTCTCTTCCCAGCTCTGTGCCACACTGTGAGGACCTCACACACACATGTGTGGGAACTTCAGACTGCATGTCCAAGCTCTGTTCACTTACCCCTGCAAACAACCACCTGTTGGCCACCCCTTGAGTCTAATGGTACACATACTTGCAATGATGGCCACCCTTAGGAAGGCAGACCAGTCCACTAAAGCCCTAAAAATGGGCAGGAAATTCCAGAGTCCTGGGTACCCAGAGTGTGTGGTCTATAAAGCTGGGTGTGGGCTCCAGCAGGGCATACCCATTTGGCCATACTCCTTGCCATATGGGGAGGCATGTGGCCAGAGGTCAGAGCTGAGCCCTCCAAGGCTGCGGTCCCAGGACAGGGGTCCTGCCTGCTCCAGTGTGTCACTGGTTAGGTTATTGCTAGACATAAAATTACTTTGCAGAAAATCTCCCACTCCCCACAGTGCCCACTTAACCAGTGATGTGACCATAGGTTGTGCAGGGCCATAGGTTGATAAGAAAATGTCCTATGGTGCCCAACATTGAAGCATGTTGGTAATGGAGGAAAAACAAGGTTCGAAATGTACAGGGCTAGAAGCTAGTTTATGGAAATTCCACTAATCATCACATGTATACAATTATAAAAGAAGGATTTAGTTCTTACTAATGCTTAGTCAAAAAAGTTCTCTCCTGATAATGCAGCATTATAAAAGCACCATACTTTTTCTTTTTTGATAGGAATCAAGCAAAATAGAATATATCAGAATTGGGTATTTGTAGGGAAAAAACTTGTAGTGGTACCACAAACAGTGAGTTTGTCTTTGTGTAAATATATCTTCTTTTTTCGTTAAATAAATAGGATAATTTTTATTATGCTTTCTAATGAATTTAATGGGATTATTTCTGATTTTTATTCTTAATTATTCTTTAATTAATCTCAAAAGCCTAATGCCAGCATTTGATATATGCCTTCTCACACATTTGCAGAAAGAATACCATGCCTCTTATATTTCTTATTTCACAAATAACTTTGAATTTCAGCTACAATTATATTGCATTATTGCTATTTCAGTAATAAGAACCAACAAATTATTTATTATCTTGTTTTACATTACTTAAAAAATGGATAAATCAACTATAGTAGACCATATTTTAATTCTGACTTTCAAGATGTACTCCTCTATTTATCAATTATTTTTATTGTATTCTTTGAATTTTATACTTGAAATGAAAAATTAAGTCATGATGAAAAGTAAGTCTGACCTACACATAAATGTTTGTAGCAGCTTTACTCATAATCACCAACAACTAGAAGGAACCAAGCTGTGCTTCAGTAGGTGAATGGGGAAACAGACTGTGGTACGCCCATCCAATGGATCATTGTTCAGAAGCGAAAAGAAATGAGCCAACAAGCCACAAAAAGACATGGGTGAACCTTCCTAAATGCATATTGCTAAGTGAAAGAAACCAGCCTGAAAAGGCTGCATAATGTATGGTTTCAATTATACGACAGTCTGGAAATGACAAAACTAAAGAGATAATGAAAAGATCAGTGATTCTCAGGCGTTTAGGGGGAAAAGGGGAGGACGGAACAAGTGAGGCACAGGAGATTTTTAGGGCGGTTAAAAAAAGGATACAGAAATGGTAGATACATGGCATTGTGCATTTGTCAAAACCCATTGAACCATACAGCATAAAGAATGAACCTGAACGTACGCAAATTTTAAAAAATCATTTCAGAAGTCAGGGGATCCCAAGAAGGAATGCAGATGAGAATATAACTATAACCTCAATTTAAATACGTATTTTTGTTACAGATAGTGTGATGATGATAAAAAATATTTTCAAGCATAAACATATGGTATATTAAAGTAAAATTCTGTGTGGAAGTTATTTCAAAAGGGAAATGTAAATTTAAAAAAGATATTAAAGGGGCCAGCCCGGTGGCGCAGCGGTTAAGTTCGCACGTTCCGCTTCTCGGCGGCCCGGGGTTCACTGGTTCGGATCCCGGGTGCGGACATGGCACCCCTTGGCACGCCATGCTGCGGTAGGCGTCCCACATAGAACATAGAGGAAGATGGGCACGGATGTTAGCTCAGGGCCAGGCTTCCTCAGCAAAAAGAGGAGGACTGGCAGTAGTTAGCTCAGGGCTAATCTTCCTCGAAAAAAAAAAACAAAAAGAGATATTAAATTTTCAACTTTAAAGAAGAAGAGCTTGTTTATTTTATTATTTTTTTAATGGATAATGGTGGATATCAAACTATTACAGTATTTAGATTCAATTGTATGCATTTAAGAGTGGTGTAACCAATGGAATACTACTCAGCCATAAAAAAAGACAAAATTGGCCCATTCACAACAACGTGGATGGACCTCGAGGGTATTATGTTAAGCGAAATAAGCCAGTCAGAGAAAGACGAACTCTATATGACTCCACTCATAGGTGGAAATTAGTATATTGATAAGGAGATCTGATCGGTGGTTACCAGGGAAAAGGGGGGGTGGGGGGAGGGCACAGAGGGGGAAGTGGTGTACCCACAACATGACTAACAAAAATGTACAACTGAAATCTCACAAGGTTGTAATCTATCATAACATTAATAAAAAAAAAAAGTAAAAAAAAAAAAAAGAGTGGTGTAACACTTCTAATTTAAAATATCAATATGTAAATGCTAGAATATGTAGATGTTAGACATTAGACCCTTTGCATCTATTTAAACTTAAAATGAAAAGACTTTAGATGTCAATTTAAAAGATGAAAAGGTGGCATAGCTTTTCAAAGATGAAGACGTGCATTAAGAGGTGACATAGCTTTTTTAGCGGGTACATAAGCAAAAGAGTTGGAAGTTCAACATCCTAGATAGCATCTTTCACAATGTATTGGAGGACTTGGCCAACTTTTTCCGTAAAGGGTCAGACAGTAAATATTTTAGGCTTTGAGGGCCAGACAGTCTGTTTCAAAACTGATCAACTGGGCTGTTGTAGCATGAAAGTAGCCATAGACTCTTTGTAATGAAAGAGTGTGTCTGTGTTCCAATGAAAGTTTATTTGTGTGCACTGAAATTTGAGTTTTGTGTAAATTTTATGTCAAAATATTCTTCTTCTTTTTACTTTTTTAAACCATTTAAAAATATAAAAATTACCTTTAGTCTACAGGAGTATAAAAAACAGGAGGCAGGCTGGATTTGGCCTGAAGCCTGTAATTTATTGACCTTTGGTTTATAGTAATTTGGCAAAATAGTCTTACAAATTGCTAGGAGTCAGTATTGTCAAAGTTGGACTGTAATCTCTCTCACATTTGCCAAAGCAAAGGCCTATATCCTTGAGGCCTTAGGCAAAATACTTCAGAAATGTATAAAGTAAAACATGGAAGGTCTTCTATTGCCAATAATTCCATTTCCCAGATGCAACTTCCATCTTCAGTTTGGTATATATCTTTCCAGACATTCAACTGTGCAGACATACACATACACACACAACATATATGGTTTTAAAAGAAACCATATAAGAAAATGTATATGGGTTGTGTGCTTTTTACAAAAAAAGGAACAACATATATATTGTTATGCAATGATTTTTCAATTTACAATACATTTTAAACATCTTTCCTTATAATTATTTTTAACAAGTGCCTCTTAATAGGAATTTGAGTCATTTCCAATTTTGAAATTATAAGCAATGAGCATCAGTGTATATATATATATCTTTGTAACATGGGTGAATATTCTTATAGGACAGATTCCTAGAAGTAGAATTACTGGGTCAAAGATATGCAAATTTTTATATTGATGAAGTCATCCAAAAGTTTAACGCTACTGTTTCTCAATCTTGATACTATTGACATTTGAGGTTGGATAATTCTTTGCTGTGGGGCTGTACTGTACATTATAGAATGTACATTATAGCATCTCTGGCCTCTACCGATTAGATGCCAGTAGCATCTTTCCTGTTGTGGCAATCAAAAATGTCTCTAGACATTGCCAAATGTCCC